CTGTGTGAGTGAACTTCTCCACCTTGCTGTGACACTGGACCATCTTCTAAAGGCCTGATTTCCATCTTGTTCTTTGGTCTTAGTAGCCCCAACAAGGTTACATGTTGGGGTCAACTCCAAGAGTAGAGAAGAAAAAAAGGATCTTTTGTTATTTTGACAAGTTTATTTTGAACTTTAATTCCTTTTTTCAAGAGTCACAACAAAATTATGAATAGGTATGAAAATGACAGAACACTGTGGGCTGGGTCTCCTGGTATTGGGAAATTACTGTCTTAAGTGTATCAGCTTGAAACAGGCAAGTAAGGGATGAAAGACGCTAATGGAGTCTTTCCACTGGCTGAAAAGTTAACTACAAGTTAACAAGCCCCCTTTGATTGTATTGTGGGTGATTGTATCACCCTCATTCATATTTGTGATGAATTCCTGCTATCATGTCCTTGTAAATTTATGTCAAGTCAGAGATGGTGAAAGATTGCATTTGGGCCACCCTTATCCCAGACCCACCCCTTGCAGACACGTGAACATGGAACTGTCTCTAAGTAAGCCTATTTGTGACCCTCAAAATTCTAAACAATATGTTCCCGGTAATCACAAACACTGGTACAAAATTAACTTGCCTAGCCCTACTCTGCATTGTATGTCTCATTTGTTAGGCAAAAAACAATGTTTTTAGTTTCAATATATTATTACAAAAGGGAATCCAGTACAATACAGATCACACCTTTGCTCTTATTCCATTCCGAGTCTTACTAAAACTGGCATTTCCTTAGGGCAGCTGTTCTGCACACCCATTCTTCCATGCTCAGTCTCCAGATGCTGGAGGACCCTGAGCTGGGTCTGTTCAGCCGCCTTTCCTCTCCATCCCTCAGATGATAACTTTCCAATGCATATCACCAGTGTCCATAGTCGCATGTCTGATAGACATTTCCAAGGTAACATTTCCAAACTGAACTTGTGATTCCCATCCCCCAAACCTATATGTCCTCTGGTCTCCCCATTTTGGTAAATGGCAGTTCCTTTTTTTCCCATTCATGGCAAAACCCTCAATATCTTCCTCAGCTCCTCTTTGCCCTACCCCAATATCCCACCCATCAGCACTTCCTGCTGGTCCCACCTTCAGAATATGTACAACTTGGCCAACTCTCAACACCTTCTCTGCTTCCACCATCACCTTTCAGAATTATAGCACAGCCTCCTCCCTGCACCTTCTGTTTTCACCATCGCCCTCCCTCTCCCCCATTTTCACCACAGCCAGCCAGAGTGGTCCTCTGAAGATGGGAGTCGCTTATGTCACTCTTCTGTTCAAAACTCTCCCACTCGTACTTTCCCAGTAAAAGCCTAGGTTGTCACTGTCTGCTATGATCTATCTGCCTCCCCACCTGCCTCTCTGACCTGCTTGTCCATCTGTCCCCTCCTGGCTGGCTCTGCTCCAGCCATCCCATCTTTGCCACCCCTGAACCCATCCAGGCTGCTTCCTCTTGAGAGCCTGGCTCTGCATGTCACTCTTCCCTCCTAACAGGGGCTTTGCTCTTCACTTAGGTACCGTCCTCTCAGGGGACCTGCAGTCCTATCTGACCCCTACACTTCTCTCCATGCTCCTTCCCAGCTTTCTGTCTCTCTATGACATTTTCAGCATCTCATCTCTTGTGTGAAATGTCTCTCCCACAAGAGTTACATTGCTCCAGCTGTGGTTCTGTTCCATTCAGAACCAGTGCCTCACACACAGTAGACCTCCCTCGGTCCCTGCTGTATGGCTGCATCCTGTTGTCAGCAAAAGGGAATGCAGGTAGAATCCAGTTCATTTCTCATCCTCCCTAGTCCTTTGCAATCAAACTTAACTTTCCTCTCAGGTCTCAAGTCCTGCCCTTGCCTGAGAATGTGACCTCCCTTCTGACCTCACTGAGAGGAGTTATGTCAGCACTTTGGAGAACTTTTTTTGTAATTGTTTTTAATACTCACTTGAGGATATCCTTATTGATTTTTTGAGAGAGTAAGGCAGAGAGAGAGGGGGAAACATGTATGTGAGAGAAAAACACTGACTAGTTGCCTCCCACACACGATCCAACCAGGGATCAAACTCACAACCCATGTATATGCCCCACCCAAGGATTAAACCACCAACCTTTTTAGTTTACAGGATAATGGTACAAGCAACTGAGCCACCCATCCAGGGCAACACTTCGGAGATCTTTTGTCCCACACCTCCCATCTCCACCTCCCACCTGTACTATCCCTCATCATGGAGGCTTGATGAGGAGCTTGACCTTCCCTCCATCCTCCTCATCCCTCAGGAATCAATCCACTGATGTCAAATACCTACAGCCTTCTCTATCCCTAAAACACCTCCACTGGACCTGTGCCCAACTTTGGTCAATTTTAGGAAATCCTTTGGTGTCTCCTTTAAGTTCTAGATTCATTGAGCAAGTGCTGTCTAAATCTTGCCTCCATTATACCAGTATAGTGCCTCCTAACCCCTTCCCAAACTTTTGGTTTTTTCCCTGTTTTGTCATTGACTGGTCATTTGAGGACCATCTGTGTCCTCCTAAATGTGAGATCACAGGGTCTCTTTTTCATTCCCTTCCTTCTTGAAGGCTTGGAAGAATGTTAACACCATTAGTCCCCCCTCCAAAGTCCTCCACAGGCCTCCTCAACTCCAATTAGCCACCCCAATCCTCAATCTTGCTCTCAAGGGAATATGCCTTCTGAGGCCTGAAGGGGAGGCAGGCTCTCTGGATCCTGGGTGACTTCTCTCCCTTCCAGCCCCTCCAGATTCCCTTGCATCTTCTGGCCCTGACATGTCTGGTCTTTACAAGCACTCAGGAACTACCCAACCATTTTCCTCCTACATCTAAAATTTCCTGGAAGAACTCTGCAAGGAGACCAAGGGGGAAGCAATAATGAAAATAAAATGTGAAGGATAACACAAGTTTCCAGGCCCAAATTCCAAGAATCTAATAGAACACAAACATGGTGGACTCTCTGGCAGAACTTGTCAGGGCACCCTGAGGGTGGTCCCTTCCCTCCACCAGCTGCAGGGAGGGTCTCTGGTCTCCAGCTCTGCTCAGTCTTTGGCCCTCACCCAACTTGTCAGATCAGGTGCCCTTCACAAAGCACCTACCACACACACATAGGCCACCTTTATAGGCCCCAGGGGCAATGAGTCGATTCTGTATCTTTTTCTTCCTTTGTGCTGCACTTTTTGTGACATGTGTCTCTAAACTGTTCTTTGCACTTTGGTCCTCACCTGGGAGAGGAGGAGCCACCTTGTGGACCTTCTCTCCAGCTGCTTCCAACCCCTCATGTCCAGCTTCCTGCTGAACACTTTCACTCAAATCTCCCACCACTGTTTTAATCCACACAGTCACCAAACCAAAGTCTTCATCTCCTCTTCCATTCTCAAGCTAGCACCCCTCCCCCCAGTGTTCTTCTTTTTAAATACTCCCCCTGCACCCTCCCCCCATAACTTTCCCACTCACAAGGCTTGGGCATGGAAGACTTGTCTTTCATTTGTACTCTCTCATCCCTGGCTCTATTCAGGAACTATAGCGCTGCTTAATTTTTCTGCTCAGAGTGTCTCCTCTCTGTTTTTTCTCTTTTTCATTCACCCTCCTGTCATCCAGCTCAGCCTTCAACACTCACTCTGAGGTCCCCACACCCTCCCTGAGTCACTGTGGACTTCTTTCTTCAACAACACTTCAACATCTCTCTACCCTATGTGGGTTAGTGGTTCTCTAGTGCTTTGGTTTATGTGCACCACCAGTGCTTACTGAATGCCTACTATGTGCAAACATGGCCACAGCCTAGCTCCATGTGCTCAGGCAGCCATTAAATTCACTGCTTTTTGACCCAGTGCTCTGTTTCAATGATCACATGTATCCCCACTGCCAAGGGAACATCATTCTGCTCTTGAAGTCACTCGGTTCACCCTCCCTTCTACTCAAAGCCATGTCTCCTAAGCCCAGTTCAAATCCCAGTCTTCCCTGGCTACACCTTTTGCTATTAATTCAGTGAAATCCCTCTCCCACTGTAGAGCTCTCTCCATTCTTCTGAATTTTCCCATCTTTACTAATACATCTCAAGATAGACTCCATGTTTAAAGTAGAAAGCACAGCACCTTCAAAGGCATAGAGGTAGAGTTGCAGGTCCCACAGGAAGTTTGGTCTGCCCCAAGTCCTCATGGGTAATGAGCTCTGGCCATGCCACTGGTCCTGTGCCCAAGAGGCAGACATCCAGCAGAGTGGAGGGTGAGGCTAGGGCCCAGGGACCAGTTAGGGGCCTTGTGACAGTCTGGGTTGACAGCGTTCCCACAAGCCCAGTGGATGGCTGTGGGTTCTGTGAAGCAGTCAGAACTGATAGCTTGGAGAAGAAACAGATATAACCTAGAACAGGTCCCTGACATCTGACATCCTTCACAGGAGAGTGGGTGGTTTTATGTTCAGTAATTAAGTTTCTCAGTGAAAACTTGTTACTGCCTAAGATCATGGACAGTAGAACAGAGGGCAGTGACAATATGGGGCGAGGAGGCTGGTTAGAGATGTGAAGACTAAGATTTCTCTAAGAGCTAAGAGCTCCAGTGAGCAAAACAAGGAGTTGGAAGTTTATTCTAAAAGAGGGTTCACATCGGCCTATTTTTTTTTAGATCAGAGATAGTCAGGTTTTGTTTATTTATTTGCCTTTAAAGCCATTCCTAAAAAGTCATATTGTTAAGCATTTTAAGGTTCAAGAGGATAGAGTTTTGTTTGTTCCCCTGGAGAATTGTATGTACACTCACAGCTTAGCCCACTTTCCTACTGCACAGACTGGCCACGAGAACAGCAGCACTGTCCTTACTTCTAGTGGGAGCATCTGGCCTGTTTGAGCAGAGACAACATGGAGGATTCCATGTAGGCTGGTCCCCTGTGTCCAAGGAGCACTGTCACATTCACTAACAGGGCCCAGGGGTCTTACTTCCCTCCATCTGAGTGCAGTTCACTGTGTATGACCATGTCCTTACTTTACAGATGGAGCCACAGACGGTGGGAAATCGTGTGAGCTGAGTGAACCATTTATGCAACATTTGCAAAGAGAAAAAGTCAAAAGGGAAGTCAGAAGTGGAGGAGGTAACAGATTAACAAGGCAGTAGTTATGAAGGTGGAATGGGCATGGTGCAACTTGGGAGACAGCTGCTCTAACCTCACAGGAGCAGGACGGGCAAGATTAGGAATGGCCCGCAGCACTGGAAGCCCCAGAGCTCCTGTAGAGACAGAGCCTAGAAGAGCCCAGGGAGGAGTGAGGAGGCCGGGACAGGTCCGTGTCCCTTAGGCAAGTCACTTATATTTTTAGTTCTTGTTTCCTCACCTCTGAACAGAGTTAAGTAATCTGTGTTTCTCTAATTTAATCCATTCTATGTAGAATAACATAAGTCTGTATTGTATTGGTGCCATACACCATGGTTGAAGTCAGGATGGAACATTAGAGGGTGATATATACAGACACACAGAGATAGGTATACATACCATATACATATACATGCATATGCACTGGCATGTACACAAATGGGTGCACATGCACACACACAATGTGCCTGTGCATGTCTTCCGATATATGGCCTATGCATGCACACATATGAACACATTGTGCATGCACTAATGCACATTTGTGCAAACTTTGAATGCATGAGTGCAACAATGGTACACATGGATACAAGTACACATGCATGCTGACACAGTACATGCACATGCTTGCATAGTCAAGTATACACACATGCACACAGTTTGTGCTACATACATGTGTTTACATGTGTGTCCATGACTGTACAGGTAACTGCTTATACACGTATGTGCACACACATGTACAATGGTGTGCATCTGTGTATAATTACAGGGACTTAGGTGTGTGTGTGCGCATGCATGTGGAATTGTGTGTGTGTGCACACAAATATGTTCAAGCATAAACACATAGGGCTTTGGAGGGAGCTATGCAGCACAGCCCACTTTAGGAAGTGAGAGGACAGCACCCAATGACACTCCATTCCAAAACCAATGCATGGCCACACCTGCCCCTTCAGGTGGTTGGACCTGAACTCACCTGTCCTACCTGCATATCAACAAGCATGTTTCCTTACAGGCTGACATTGTGGAGCAATGGGTGACTGGAGCTTCCTGGGGAGACTATTGGAGAATGCACAGGAACACTCCACAGTCATTGGCAAGGTGTGGCTGACAGTCCTATTCATCTTCAGGATCATGGTGCTCGGAGCTGCTGCTGAGGAAGTGTGGGGAGATGAGCAGTCAGACTTCACCTGCAACACCCAACAGCCAGGCTGCGAGAACGTCTGCTATGACCAGGCCTTCCCCATCTCCCACACCCGCTTCTGGGTGCTGCAGATCATCTTTGTGTCCACGCCCACCCTCATCTACCTGGGGCATGTGCTGCACATTGTGCGCATGGAACAGAAGAAGAGAGGGAAGGAACAAGAGCAGGTAAAGGGAAGTAGCCTAAGTCTCAGATCTGCTGGACAGTGTTCACCCAGAGACCACAGCCAGAAGGATAAAACCCCCCTGTGGAATGACCTTGGCAAGGTTCGCATCACCGGGGCCCTGCTTAGGACCTATGTTTTCAACATCATCTTTAAGACATTGTTTGAAGTGGGCTTCATTGCTGGACAGTACTTTCTGTATGGCTTTCAGCTGAAGCCACTCTACCGCTGTGACAGGTGGCCCTGCCCCAACACAGTGGACTGCTTCATCTCCAGGCCCACAGAGAAGACCATCTTCATCATCTTCATGCTGGTTGTGGCCTGCCTGTCTCTCTTACTCAACATGCTGGAGATATACCACCTGGGCTGGAAGAAGCTTAAACAGGGCATGACCAACCACTATGGCCCTGACACTCCTGATTCAAGGATGGGGACTACAAAACCTGAGGGTGTGAGCCCACTGCCTTCCCACCCTATATCCACCACTGGTACTGTGGGGTGCCCTCCTTACTATACTCACTCTGCCTTTTCCCTGGGACAGGCAGTGGCCACAGCCTGTCTCAGCTCCCCTCCACCAGCAACTGACTTCAATGTGGCAGCCCCATCCCTGACACGGGGGAAGAGCCTCCCTGACAAATTGTACAATAGTAACCATCACCTGCTAATGACAGAGCAGAACTGGGCCAACCAGGAGACCAAGCAGCAGACATCTGTTAGGAAGGCCTTCTGGCCAGTGTCCACATCTTCCTCCTTTACCCCTCCAGGCAGCCCCCAGCCACCCCCACAGGAGGGTAGAGCAGGCAGCAAGGAGTCTGTCCTGCTGGAGAATGGGGGTGGCAGCAGCTTGGGAGAGAGCAGCCTGGAAGTGACTCCTGATGAGGGGCAGCAGGCAGTGACCACCGCTGTCGAGATGCACACACCCCCCTTTCCCCCCACAGACCCCAGACAGTCAAGCAGAGCCAGTAAGTCCAGTGGCAGTCGGGCCAGACCCAATGACTTGGCCATCTAGTCAGCTCTGTGATGACCTCTTTTCCAGCAACCAAAACCAAAGTGCACTTCAAACGAGCAGGTAGAAAGCCTAGAGTGACAGAGGGCACTGGAGCAGGGGAGGGGGAAGAGCATCAGAGAGGTCTGGTTTCTGTGTCAGTGCTTGCTGTCCTTCATGGTGGTGGGGTGGGGAGAACACTGATGCTTTCTATGGGGGGGGGGGGGAAAGTGGGGCACAGGGGCTGATGATGGCCTTTGAAGACATTCACTGCACCCCATTATCCCAGAATCCAGCCACTCTCTCAGGTATTTCTGACTCTCGGGGGACTGTTCTGCAGTGACAAAGAGGCAGGTGTCTGCAGTCACTTCATTTTGGGGTCATTAGGTTTTCTGTCCTGAGCTCTAAAGGGCCTCTGGGCAGCCCAGGAGGCCACAGCTGCACTTAGCCCTGTCCTCTATTCAACACTCGTAACATAGAGTTGAAGTTAATTCAGGATATTTGCCAAACTGCACTCACAGGAGACTTAGAGCAAGCCTGTGTAGTGTCATCTGGGATTCTGAAATTTCACATGAAGCCCAGGACATGCAAGTGCAGGCTGTCTGACCAGTGACAATAATGAGCAGCTCCCCAGAGGCATAGGTTCGTGGGTGAGGGCACAGAGGCAGCTGGGAAGAATGCAGGTGGAAACGCAGCCACACTTGACATTACTTTCAGCAGCTGAGGAAACCGAAATAAAAGTGTGGCAGGCCCGCCCACCTTTGTGTTTTTTTTCAAATGATATGTTTCTGCTTTGAATTGTACAGTTAGGCCTACATCCCCCACTCTCTCCCTTTCAGAGAAAAGCAAGAGAAATTTAGTACAGTTACATGGATGCTGACTGAGGGAGTGCTCACGTTTCCCATTTCCTACTAGTAAAGATTTGAATTTCTTTTACCTGAAATGCTTTGAGTGAACGAGTCAGCTTATTACTATGACATGGTACCAGATAAAATAAAAGCAGAGAAAAACTTAGGCGACTTGTATGTACTTGAAATTGTCAAGTTTTTCAATGGGAAAAGTTAGCCGCTGTTGCCAGAAAAATAATTTATACAGGTGGATGCATGACCTACACCTTTGTAACAGTACAAATGAATCTGTTTTTGTTTCCTAACCATTCTGTTTGGGCAGCTTGTTTGCTTTCTAAAGTGTAAATAAAAGTGTCTGGGTTTGCTCCCCGTGAGAGAGCATGTGTGGTTTTGTGCACGTGCTGCTTTGGCATCCACGCAGATGGCCGCTGTGACGGGGAAGGCTACTTGTGTGGGTGGGTGTGGCTGGGAGACGACAGCATTTTCTGTACTGCACACACGCTGCTGCTCTGTCTCAGTCCCTGTCTGTCTGATGGGACCAGCAGTGGTGATGCTGAGCCTGGTCCTCGTCATACTTTTCACCCCACTCACTGATTGTAGTTAATCCTTTATTCAGCCAAACACTGTACACTGTCTATTTGATCTGTTTCTTTTTATGAATTCCTTCATTTTCTGATGATTCTTTTGTGACCCTCTAACAGTCTGATGAGCAGACTCTGATTCCTGCCCTCTGATTAATGTGAGCAGATAGCTCGCCAGTGCGTTCAGCTTACTGTGGGACCAGCTGGACCACTGCCCTGGCTTGAAATGTGCTCACTTCCCATACATGGCAGCCTCTTCCAGACAGTGCATCTCAGAACTCTTTTTTTTTTTAAAGTAATTTTAGTTATTTTTCAAGTACAGTTTTTTGTCTATTTTTCCCATCCCAGCCTCCCCCGCCCCTTGCTCCCCACCTCCCTCCCAGTTCCACCCCCCTTAGTTCTCGTCCCTGTGTCCTTCCTATTTGTTCCTCTAAAGAACTCTTTTTGTTTTAGTAATTTTCTTACTGTTGTACAAGTACACTTGACTCCATTTCCTCCCCCCACCCCTCCCCACCTCCTATCCTCAATCCTGCTTCCTTTGGCTTTGTCCATGTGTGCTTTATACGTGTGCCTTGACGACACTACCTCTATTAAGGAATGTGTGCCATCTTTGGAATTTCAGTTATGCCCCTCAACAAGGCCTCACCTCTTTCACACAAAAGGGCACACCATAACATTTTCAGCAATTGAGATATTTATCTATCTATCTATCTATTATATATAAATTATATATACTATATATAACTATATATACTATATATACTATACTATATATATACTAATTATATAATGTATAACTATATTGTATAAGTATATTGTATAAGTATATACAGTATAGTTATATTATATATATAATATAGTTATACAATATAGTTATATATTATATATACAGTGGGTTATAACTATATATTATATATAACTATATATAATATATCTCAATTATATATATTATGATATAATATATGTGATATGTATTATATATTTGAGATGTACATATAATTGAGATATAGAATATATAATTATATGTGTATCTCTCTCATATATATTCATTATAATTAATTTCAGAAACAGTACACTTGACAAAATTCAAATATTTGATTTATGAGTAAACATTTCTCTTTTAATGAATAATCAAGTTTGAGAAGCAATTTTAACATCACTGAAAGCCTTTAGAAATGAATTCTTTAAATACAAAAGCAAGGTCACTATCATTACTAGCTGCCAAGACTATATATTTTCTAGTTGCCTTTATTAGACATAGATTAGCTAACTAGGCTAAGACCCAAACAGTTTATAAGAATACTAACAATTTGGAACTTGCCCATCCAGCAAATCCAGCTGAAGCTAGCAAGAGGACTTTCCAACTCATTTGCATTGAAGACCTCGTGAAATTTAAGTCTATTATTTAAATGTCCTTTCAAAACTGTCTTGGGGAGCATTTCCTGATGAAAAACTGCTTGGAAATTAAGCTGCTTTTTGGGTTTGCAATTGTGCACGTGGAGACAGTGGCTCCAGAGTTTATGTTAAATTTGGAAATCGAGCTCCACTCAGACACCCAGGCAGTTGTATTTGAGAAAATATTGTGTTGACTGGTATGAGACCAAGAGCCAAGAACATGCCAAGTTCTGATACCAGCCCAGTTTCTAAGTTGCCATGTCAGTTCTATAGTGAGTCATCTATGAAGAGGAAGAGAGGAAGGGTGAAAATGGTTGGTGTCACTGCCTGGAAGTAGAGAGAAGGCCAAGTGAGGACTGCTCCTCATCAGCCCTCTGTTCTTCATATGGCCCTGGGCCAAATCTGCATGGACCATGGGTTGGCACATAGAAGGCAACAACTCATAGTGACACAATAACTGAATGAATGGATGAGGGAATGAAAGTATGAATGAATGAATGAATGAAACTTAGATTCTGCTTGCTCATCTAAACTCATTTGACATGGATTGAAGTATCAATAAATATATCAGAGAAGTATATCCCCTTGCCAGGGCTGGCTAATTTTGTCTATAAAATCAACTTTATTGAAATATAATTTGTGTTTGCCACATGGATATGCCAAAATTGTCTCACCACAATCAAGAACATTTCCATCACCCCAAAAGGTCACTTATGCTTCTTCTAGTCAATTCTCATCAACTTCAGGCAATCACTAATCTGCTATGTCTTGTTATAGATTAGTCTTTGCTAAAATTTCATGTAAATGGAAGCATACAGTATGAACTCTTCTCTGTATTTTCCCCTTAACATAGTGTTTTCAAGACTCATCTCCACGATTACAGGTTTCAGCAGTGTTTCTTTTATCACTGAGAATTCCATTATTTGTGCATTTACCTGTTAATAAATTTCGGGGTGGTGTATTAGTGCTCTCCAGAGGAGTGGGTTACACACACACACACACACACACACACACACAGTTGGCCCTTGAACAACATGGTGTTTGAACAGCATAGATCCATTGATATGCAGATTTCTGCAATAAATCTTAAAAGTGTACTTTCTATTTTTTATTATCTTCTTTTTTAATTGTTTTTAATCTTCACCTGAGATTATGCTCATTGACTTCAAAGAGAGAGGAAGGAATAAAGAAAGAGACATTGTTATGACAGAGAAACAGCAATCGATTGTCTCCTGCACGTGCCCCAATCCTAGGTGTGTGCTCTGACCAGGGATCAAACTTGCAAACTTTTAAATTTTGGTTTATGAGACAATGCTTCAACCAATTGAGCCATCCTGCCAGGGCTTCTTATGATTTTCTTAATAACATTTTATTTTCTGTAGCTGACTGTATTGTAAGAATACAGTATATAGTCCTGGCCAGTGGCTCAGTTGTTTGGAGGTTGTCCCATATACCAAAAGGTTTTGGGTTTGATTCCTGTTCCGGGCAAGTACCTCGGTTGCATTTTCCATCTCCTGTTCAATCCTCAGTAGGAGCACGTATGGGAAGCAACCAATCGATGTTTCTCTCTCATATCAATGTTTCTGTCTTTCTCCTTTCCTCTCTCTAAAATCAATAAACATATCCTCAGGTAAGGATTAAAAGAAGAATACAATATATAATACATTTAACTTACAAGATATGTATAAATCAACTGTTTATATTATCAGTAAATCTTCTAGTCAACAGTTATGTGTGAATTTTCAACTGGGCAAGAGATAGGCACCACTAACCCCATATTGTTCAAGAGTCAAGTGTGTGTGTGTATGTGTGTGTGTGTGTGTGTGTGTGTGTGTGTGTGTGTAAATAAGAAATTTCCTCACATGATGAAACCAAGAAGTCCCAAGATCTGCAGTCCACAAGCTGGAGACCTAGGAGAGCAAGTGGTGTAAGTTCCAGTCTAAAGATCAGTAGGTTTGAAACCCAGGAAGAACCTATTGTGTTAGTTCAAGTCTGAAGGCAGGAAAAAAAACAAACAAACAAAGAACAGTATCACACTTCAAAAGCCATTAGGGGAACTTTCTCTTACAGGAGAGTCAGCTTTTTGGTTCTCTTCAGAACTTTGACTGATTGGATGAGGCCCACCCACATTAGGGAGAGCCAATCTGCCTGATTCAGTCTACTAATTCAAATGTTAATCTCATCCAGATACACCCCAAACCCAGATATCTGGGCTCCAAATGGCCCAGTCAATTTCAAACATAAAATTAACCATCCCAAGTAACATCCAGGTTTTTGGCATCTGGTACAAGTCTTTATGGAGACATATTTTCAGTTCTAAAAGTACAACAACTGAGCTTTACAGTAAGTGCATATTTAACTTTT